CACGTGTACCAGGACCCACATCTTTTCCCTAGTCCTGCTGGCCCAGATTTCTGGAATTCTCGATCATCTCGAGAGGGTGCCACGCCAGCTGCACCCATACCCCAGGAACTTTCTGTCTGCTGGCTGTTTGCCTGACCCTGGCCTCCAGCTGCCTCTCAGCGGCCTGTCACCACACAGGGGGAAAGAGGAGGGTGCGCCCTAGGCCTGGCCCCGTGCTGCCCTCTGGGGTGACAAGAGCTCACAGCTTCAGCTCCCTTCTCCAGTTCCATCCCCGCATCAGCCTGCTGTTACAGACCAGGAACCAGGGTCAGAAGGTCTGAGTGACAGCCTGGCTCGCCCCGTAAGGGTCAGCAGTGTCTGCCCCGACCCTAGGACCTCCTGCTCCCTACTACACAACCCCCACCCCCGTACCCGCCTGGCCTCTCTCCCTGCCTGGGCCCATCTTCGCCTCACCTGACCCGGTACCCGCCTTGGGATCCCCGAGGTGGCACACCGCAGGTGAGGCCCAGCGTCCCGTCCCTGCTGCTGCAGCCCGTGCCTGGCCGTTGTGGCTTGATGACAGCAGTTTCCTTGCTGGAGGCGGTCTCCTGCCCCCTCAGGCCGAGCACAGGCGGCAGTTCGTTGGCTACGCATAGGGACAGCCAAACTTGGCCCGGCCCCAGCTCTGGCCTTCACCTGGGCAAGGCTTCCCACCCCCACCTCTGCCCAGCTGGGTCACCTCGCTCAGGGCTGTGGCCTCCTGTCTGTAAAAACAGGTAGCCCAGTGGCAGTAAGGGCAGCCCCACCCTGCTGGAGGGTGCGGGGGGGCATGGGTGCCGGGGAACATGGGTGCCGGGGACGTGGGCGTGCTCGCAGCACAGGGGCCTGTCGGTGCCTGGCGCTCCGTGAACCACGCGCTTGTCTCCTTTTGGAGTCTCACCTGCTCCCTCCGGGTGGCAGGTGACCGTAAACAGTTCCCATACTCCCAAGGGACTGCTGGGCATTTTTGGTCGGTCACGATGGGAAATGGAGGAGTATGGTACAGGCAGAAAAGGGTGGCAAGTGCTCCCTACCGGGGGAACCCAGTGTCTCAAACCCAGTGTGGGCGTGGGGGGCTGGGAGAGGGCCCTGAATCCTGACTGTGCCTCAGAAACCCTGCCCCATTCACCTGCGAGTGGGCTCAGTACTCACCAGCCCTGGGGGTGGCCGTGGGGGGTGAAGGGCTCCTTGGGAGTGGGCACAGAGGCTGGACTCTGTGTGGCAGGCCACAGATGAGAAATTGGGGGCCCAGAGGAGACCCCCAAACAGTTATTGAGCAGCCTGGCCCCATGCCCAGTCCACCATTGCAAGGCATTCATTCTTTGTGGTGGGAATCACCCGCTCCGGGCTCCTTCTGAAGAGGGTGAAGGCATAAATCAGAGCCTGGCCGAGAAGAGCGCTAGGTGTCCAAGCATCCAGCATTCATACTGCTGGGGGAGGGGTGCATTCGGGGTCTCTGGGGGACTCCAGCTTAGCCTTTGCCTCCCCTGGGGCGCCGCCCTCAAGCCCAGCCCACTCGGAAGCCCCCCATCAGCCTGGAGAGAAATGTCCTGTTGGCCAGTCGACCTCCCGTGCAGGCTGTGAGGGCCCAAGTCCCGCTCCCGGTGCCTGACCGTGAACGTCAGTGTTCCGGGGTCTACGGCAGGGAGGGGCACGGGCGGGGCTGGGGTGCCAGGATGGAGAAGGAAGGAGAAACAGAGGAACACAGAGTCCAGCCAGGGTGAGGCTGAGGAAGCAGGAGGGCAGCATGAGCCTGTAACGACTCACTGGGCAGATTATTAATTATGAGCGGAGCAGCCAATGAGAGGAAAAGTCAAAAACGCAGCTTATTCTAATCCATGAACAGAATATGGTGCCAGTCCTTCTGCAAAGTGGACCGACCCAGACCCCATGCAGGCTCACTGCGCACACCCCCGTGGGGCCTACTGAGGCTCCCGCACTTCTAGCTTGTGGCTCCCAGCCTCTCAGCCTCTACCCCACGCTGCGGGTGAGAGCGGACAAGGCAGGCATGCAGGGGCAGCAGGGGCTGAGAGTAGCTCTGCCCGCCCCTGCCCTCCTCCCCTGCCACATCTGTGGACTGGTGGACTGGAGATCACCGTGAGATAAGCAAGGCCGGTGAGGCTGGGGCTCAGCACGGTCGGTCGGTCGGGCAGTGGCCTCGGAGAGAATGGAAACTCCCTTGAGGGGCTGGCGGGGGAGGTTGCTGTGAGAGAGTCCCCAGCCCCACCTCTCAGGGGGTGGAGGCGGGCAGGGCACCAAGATGGGCAGCAACTCCCTGGAGTCTGGACTCAAAGAAAGCTGGATTCAAATCCTGCCCCTTCTCCACCCCCCCACCCTCCATGCGATCCTGGGCAGGTCACTTAATATCCCTAGGCCTCTGAGTCCCCATCTGCGCTGTGGGACCATCCGAGCCCCTCACCTCATGGCGACGTACCAGGGTCACATCTAAAGAGCCTCAATATCGACCAGTCCTCTAAGCTCCTGAGCCAAAAGACGCCCTCCTCCCACCCCCCGTTGCCCAACTGTGCCTGGTGTCACGTGCAAGGCCCACTGGCGTGTTCTTCCAAAATGCACTCGGAACCCAGCCCCACTCCCCTCCTCCTCACTGGCCTCCCTCCTGCCCCCATTTTTTGTCTTGAAATTCTTTATTTTTGAACAAGAGTCCCTAGACTTTCTTCATTTTAGCTTATTTTATGTTTATTTTTGAGAGAGACAGAGACAGAGTGTGGGCAGGGGAGGGGCAGAGAGAGAGGGAGACACAGAATGTGAAGCAGGCTCCAAGCTCTGAGCTGTCAGCACAGAGCCTGACGCGGGGCTCGAACTCATGAACTGCGAGATCATGACCTGAGCCGAAGTAAGACTCAACCGACTGAGCCACCCAGGTGCCCATATTTTATTTTGAGAGAGAGAGGGAGTGCACACAAGAGTGGGGGTGAGGGGCAGAGGGAGAGAATCTTAAGCAGGCTCCACGCTCCATGCTGAGCTAGACGCAGGGCTCAATCCCATAACCTTGGATTCGTGACCTGAGCCGAAATCAAATCACACACTTAACCCACTGAGCCACCTAGGCACCCCTAGGGGCCCTACATTTTCATTTGACCCTGGGCCCCACAAATTCTGTCACTGCAAAGTCCCCACCAGGCCATGTTCCCCCGCCCTTCCCCCACCCCACTCAACCTCCTCCCACAAGACCCTCCCCCTTACCCCACCCACACCCCATTCTCGCTCAGAACGAGATCCAAACTCCCATCTGGGCCCACAGGCCCCGCCAGTCTGGTCCCCGAATCTTTGCTGCCCTCGCCTCCCTCGGTCTACTGGGCTCCGGTCACAGTCCCCACCTTTCCGTCTCAGGGTCCTCCCACTGGCTGCTCCTCTGCCTGGAATGTGGCTGCCTGCTCAGAGGGGGCCCTCCTGGCCCGCCAGCTAGAGCGGCTGTCCCCTCCCCAGCGCTCACGGCGGAAGTTAGCTGTCTCCTTGTTTACGTGTTAGTGGTCTGTCTCCCCCACCCACACCCTGGCGCTCAGAACATCAACAACAGGAGAGCAGGGTCATCGTAAGCCTGTAAGCCTCAGTCTCCGGTCACTGCTGCTCCCCCACCCCCACCGCCCCACCGGGACAAAGCCCGGCCCCAGCCCGGGCAGACATTCCGTAAACAACTGTTGCGTGACGACGGAACTTGCATGAGAGCTGACGACAGACTCTGAGTGATAAGTACCTAAGTACCGTCTACTCTGGGGCGGCAGGCCCGGCCAGTGCGTGCCCATACCTAGCAGGGTGTTCTCCCTCCCCCCACCTCTGTCCTCAGTGCTGCTGAGACCAGCGCAGGGCGTCTGGCAGTTCCAGCCCCTCCCACCGGGCTCCCCCAGCCTCCGGGGGGACAATGTACAAAGGGCCACTTCAGCTCGGAGCTTCAGCTCCATCTCTAGCCCACAGGCCTGAGGTGGGGGGAGGGAGGGGAGGATGCGCCCCAGCCCTCATCTGTCTTCATGGGACGTTCTCTAGCACAGGGCAGTAGGGTGACAGATTCAAGCTGTAGTGGAGAGAGGTTTTGTTCCAGGAGCCGCACCTTGAGGGGACGGGGAAATGCCCTTGCACAGCAGCGGGGGGGGGGGGGGGGGGGGGGGGGGGGGGGGAGCAGATGAGATGCATCAGCGCACGGGGTCTGGGTGCCTGTGCAGAGGTCGGTCCCCGTGTGCCCAGGCAGTAGGAGTGGAGTGGCGCTCCCCGATGTGTACGGGGCACAATTGGGGACATGCAACCCTTCGCTCAAGAGGCTAAAGTCCCCGCAGGGTTAAGGGAGAGAGAGGAGCAGACCGGACAGGATCTGAGCCAGGCTGGAGGGCAGAAGCCGGGGCTCAGAGTCTGCTCCCATCCTGCCTGGGACGCTCCGCCGCAAAACCAGGCACAGAGAACGCGCTCACACAGTGGCTCTCGAAACCTGAGCTGATAGCCTGAGACGTGACCATGGGAGTCATCCTGAATCTTCCCTCCTGCTGACCTCGCACTCCCCATCGCCAGGCCGGTCTACTCTACGGCTTGTCATCCTACCCGGTCCCCTGTGCCACTGTCCCGTGCCGCCTGAGTCACCACCCATGCTCACCTGGACAAGAGCAGAAGCCTTCCCAGGGAACGGGATGCCCGGCTTGAGACCCACGAGCCAAGCAAAAGCCACATCCGGGGCTGCTCTTCCCAGCTTGGAACACCTGCCCTCAGGCTAAAGTCCACATCCTTTAGGAGGCTCCAGGTTTCTGTGTGATCTTCCACTCCCTGCGCAGGTGGCCTCAGCAGACCACACTTGCCCAGGCTGAGGAAAGATGGGCTGCCTCACTCCGGCTGCCCCCCACCCCCCACCCCGAGCTCCTCACTCACACACTCCGCGGTGCTGCCCGACTCCCCTGGGGAACCCAGCACAGAGCCTGATGCAAAGGAGGTGCTGACCTTGGCCTGTTGAATGAATAAATGACCCCCTCAAATCCACACACCTGCACCTGCCGTCAGTGCTGCTGGGCTCTCGGGCCTCATCTGGGGTTTGGAAAAGTCTCGTCCTGCCTGGGCAGGGCACATCCGGATGAGGGGGCTCATGTACGTGAACTTGACGGGTCCCCTGCAGTGGGAGGGTAGTGGTGGAGAGCGGAGACACGGGGAAGGACTCCCGCCTTCAAAGCACGCTGAGCAGCAGGATGGCTGATGGTCCGGAGGAGACACAGGAAGGAAGGCGGGGAAACACAAGGTGACTGTGGTTCGCCCCCCCGGGTGCTCAGTGCCCAGCACCAGGCCTGGATGCTGCTGGGTAAAAGGAGGGGCTGGAAGCCTGGCTCTGCCCCCCCACAGCTCTGGAACCCCACTCTCTCAGAGGCAGAAACCAGGAGGCTGGTAACGCCCGTTTGCAGGGGCCTCGCGGGGATCTGGGGAAGCGATCTGCTCCTGGCCCAGAATCTGCAGCTCCGGCTCTCTGGGAACCCGGACAGCGTCATCCACCGCCTGCAGGAGAGGGGGGTCTGGAGCAGGTGCACCCGGTGAGCCTCTGTGGTGCGGGAACAACGAGCCCTTCCTCCTTCCCCTTCCCAATCCATCTCTGCCCACCCCTGCCTGCGAGCACCTGCAGCGCCCTTGGGTCAGGACCTGACTGTCTCCACCGGGGGGGACCCTCAAGAAGCCCTCACCAAAGAGCAGAGGGCTCCACGCAGGGCTGGAGGCACCGGGCCCCTGCTCCTTAATCTGGAACCGCCAATCTGTTCTTGCTCCTCTAATTAGTCTCTTCCACCTGGTAGATCCAGAGAGCATTCCGGAAAAGGGCTGCAAGGGCCCAAACGTCCCACTGAATGTGGGAAAGAAGAGAAAGGAACAGCAGGGACCAGGCCGTCACCATGAGGTGACAGAGTCATTCAGGGGCCAGGTGGCCAGGGTCCAGGCCACTAACTTAGCAATGCCACTAACTTCCCGGGAGAGCCTGAGCACCGAGTGAAGTGCTCCATCACATCTCACCATCACATGGCCATTTCACTGGTGGGGAAACTGAGGCCTGGAGAGGGGACAGGCCTTGCCCGAGGTCAGGCAGCAGCAAACTGTGGGGAGGGCCTGGCTCAGCACAGAGCAGGTGCATGCCGACGCTCAAGACCTCCCTCCTCGTTCCCGCCGGACCTCAGTTTCCCCACTGACCACCAGGGGCACAGACTTGATCTTCCAGCTTCCGGCCGACTTCGAACGTTCCAGTTTCCGGAAGGCCCACATTCTAGGTCTGCTGCTCTGTTTTCCTCCTCTAAGTTCCGTGATCCCCCTTCTCGGGTCTGGATCACAGGGTTCTACTTTCTGGGTGCTGTGTTCTGGTGCCTGGCCCCCAAGTTCTCCTCGGAAAGGTCTGGAGCCCAGGCCCTCCTGCCTGCCAGGTTGTGTTCTCCAAGCCAACACACTTCATTTTCATTCCCTGTGTTCTTTCCCTGCCCCCAGCAGTCGGGCGCCCAGCCCATCCCCTGGGCGCCCACCACCCGGAGGTGCTTCAGATCATCAAGCAGATGGCCAGGCCGCAGGGGATACTGGAGAGCATCCTCACAGCTGGGCAGGAACACCCTTCCCCATCCTTCCCCGTGTCTCCAGGACCACCTTTCCGACCACTCCCGGTCCCGCGGGCCTCTGCCCTCACCACTCTGCACTTGGCACTTCCCAAGGACAGAGACCTCGGGTCATCTTCCTGTGGGGTCAGGGTCTGGTACCTCCTTAGTGGGTGTCTGATAAACACTTGCAAGAATGAATTAACCAGGTGTGCCCGGGGTCTCGGCAGGATTACACACTGTCACAGCCTCAAAGACGAGTGTTCACATACGACGGAGATGCTCACGCTGCGCGTACGCGCAGGTGCTGTGCACAAAACACGTGCTCAAAAACACAGACACATCACACCCTGAAGTCAGCAGACCCGTGCCCCTGGCACCTAGCCTGGGCCCTGGCACTTGCTGGATAACAGCTGAACGAATGAACAAGAGCTCTATACGAGATACACGGAGGAGACGGAGACTGAATCCTGACCCAGGACCAAGGCTCAGCTGTGATTACCAAGACCATTTCCACAAGGTCGAACTTGACTCCATTGTAGGAGGACCCTCTTAGAAGGGCACTTTGGGGCCGGAGTCAGGAAGGAAGGCAGTCACCAGTAATACGCACCCGCTGGGCACCCGGATGGAGGTGAAGCAAACAGCCCCAGGGTCACCTCTGGGTGGGACAGGCGGAGGGCGGGGTGGCTTTCCAGGGAAGGCGAGGGCCCTGGGGCCTAACCCACACCACAGGAAGGACGTCAGAGGTTTGCATGGGGTTCTCAGGATGTTAAATCCCTGTAGCCCCAGGTCTGGACTCTTGCTGACCCAACTTTCGAGAATGAGAGACACCCAAGCTGTTTGCCAGAGGCGCACCTGTTCTGTGGGCTGTGCCTGGGACCAGGGTCCCTCTGGAAGCCACCCACACGTGATGACCCCTGAGCTCACGAATGGGGAGCTGGCTGTGCTCAGGGCACCTTTTCTTAGACCTCTCTCCTTTACATCATAACCACTTTTCTGGTTATAAAGGTTTCACCTACGACCCAGGGAATTTGAACATCACAGCAAAAGCAGGACAATATCACCCACCATCCCCGGGGCTAACGTTCCGCCCTAAGTTCTCACAGACTTCTTTCCCTGCGCGCCTTTTTACTGGAATGAACTATCAATGTGGATTTCCCGCCAGCTTTTGGACAGCAAGCATTTTCTCTAAGGAGCTTTGTCCACATGGGAAGGGAAGACAGAGTGCAGACCTGAGCCCTGGGGACTTTGCTCTCCTGGGCTTCTTCCCATTCCCTCCCCCCGCCCCCTCCCGGACCTGACCTGGATCCAGCAGAGAAATGCTTCAGCTGGGGACCCGAGTGGGGGAGGGGTGCAGCCACAGAGCCCCAGGGTGTCCTCTTATAGGCCACAAAGGGACTACCAGCCACTCTCCGTGGTGCTCTAGGTCAGGCCCGAGCACCTCGGGCCTCAACGTTCCCTCTGTGAAATGGGCATGTTTGGCTAGCTATATGGCCTCAAGGCTCCCCAGCCTGGTCCACTCCACTGGCATCTCCGACTGGGCCCTGCATTATATAACCAGCCCCTCAAGGATCTCAGCATCCTGTGAGGCCGACGGATGAAAATCCTGGCAGGGTGGATCGGCCTGGCCTTGACCTGGGAGGCAGGCAGGACTTCCCAGAGAGGTCTTAAAGGATGAGCCAGCACCTGCCAGGAGAGGAGGGGAAGCATCTGCAAAGGCCCGGGGGCAGGGAAGGGGAGGGCCTGGTAGGCGGAAAGCCAGCACCTGGATTTCCAGTCTAGATTTCCCCCTCCCCAAGCACCAGTGCCGGGAGGCAGACCACAGATTCTGTTACGCACCCCCCCCCCCGCCCCACTGGTGGATGTAGGACCACTGCTCATACTCAGATACGCCCTCGAACACTTGTGACAGCAATAACATGCCAGGCCCTGCAGCAGTCCCGGACCCCCCTGAGAGGGGGCTTGGCTGGGGGTCCTTTGGGGCCAAGCCCTGCCATTTAATGGTTCTAACAGTGGTCATCCCTCACAGACCCACTGCCCCCTTCCCTGGACCTCTCAGCCACAGGGGAGACTTACACCCTCTGCTCTTCACCTTGGACATGGCAGGTGTGACCTTGGACCCATCACCTACACGCTGTGGGTCTTGGCTCAAAGACTGAAGACTGATCTGGGCTGTTCCAAGGCCCAGATGGGACCAAAGGGCAGATGGCTCTGCCTCCACTGACCAAAGGGGCTCCCAAGAACCTACTATGTGCCAGAGCCCCCAGCACGTACCTCTTTGTTTCTCTCTCCCGCCAGCCTAGAGGAGTGATCTCTTCCCATCACTGCCCCTTACAGACACAGAGAGCCCCTGGGGGCAGGTTTTCTGACTCCGGGATGTGGGCATAGGTGAAAATGTAGAGCCAAACCTCAAGCTTCTGCTAGAAACAACTGAGATCACGTGTTATTGCTTTATAAACTGTAGAGTGCACCCATTAATTTTCTCGTGTAACGGGCAAGGCTCCATCCTGTAGGACCCCTCCTGGCTGTGTGACCCTAGCAAGTCACCCGCCCTGTCTAGGGCTCAGCTTCCATTGAATGAAACAAGGATTACATTAGCACCACTTCCCAGGGCTCCTGAGATACTGAGATGAAATCAAGCAAGAAAGCAACCAGCAGCTCGCTCCCATCCCAGCCATAAATGAGTTCTGACCGTGAATATTCAGTCCTCAGAGGTGGCTGGGAAGGAGCCTTCTCAATCTTTCACCCCAACCCGCCAATCTGCACTGCTCCCAGAAGTGGCCCTCACCCATCACATGCCCGATTGCCATTCAATAAAGTTAAGAAACGGTTATTGAATGCCTTTTCCATGTTAGGCAAGGTGCCAGCCCCCAGAGAGTGCCTGTGTGCCCGGCCTGGAAGTCCACCTGTCATCGGCAGCCCTCCCTCGTCCCCCCTTCCCCGGCTACCATCGCTCACCCACCACGATGCACCCAGGCTGTGTGCCAGGCCCGGGCTAGCAAGAGTGGCGCCACGAGCGATTCGTCCCGAGTATTAAACAAGCTATGTGGGGTCTGTGGCCAGCTGGGACCTGCTTCCAGAAAGGAACAGCAGCAGCAGGTGCCTGGATAAAGGCAAAGTGGGGCGTGGGGGTCAACGTGGTGGGTGCAGAGCTGGGTTAGGGTAGCAGGGGTGGGGGAGCAGAGGCTGAGAACACAAGTGGGGCAGGGTCACAGGGATCCGGGTTCAGGGCAAGGGAGTCTATCAAGGCAGCCTGGACTCCACTGGGCGGGGCAGTGGTCCTGGGAGTTCGTGGGCCTCTGTATCCCCAGGACAGCATTTTAAAACCTGGGTTTCCAGCCCCCTCTCCCGAAGCGGGATTCTGACTCAGCGGGGTGTGCCGGGGCCTGGGAAATTTGTATTTTCCCCACGCCACCCAGGTGAGGCTGCTTCCAGAGACAGAGGCCCAGGACCATGGGAAAGAAGGGAGTGGCAATCAGGGCTACAAGGAGGGTGGCCTGGAGGCCAGGACACCACCAGTGACGTGGCTGTCTCAGGCATCTGGGCTTAAGAGACCACTCCCTTCTCAGTAACTGAAGGGCCTATCTGAGGGGCCCCATGAGGCTCTGGGGTCCTACAGACTGGATGCAATCCCAGCCTTGCCACTTCCTGGCCCTGAGCCCCGGGCCCCAGGCACCCTCAAACTGCCAAATGGGGATAATAGTAGTACCTACTTCGAGGGAAGTTAGGAGGCGTTGCTAGGATAATGCAGACAAAGTGCTTGGCCCCGCGCCCGGCACATAGTAAGTGCTCGATAAATAGCAGCAAATTATTATGACTCAGAGGTCGAGGTGGGGTAGAACAGCCTGGGAAGTCATCCATTACGGGTCTCTGTCAAGCAGAATCCTGGAGACTGCCTCTGGCTGCCCTCCCTCACTCAGACCCCCATCTAGGCTGCTGCTTCTGGGAAGTCCCCAGCCTGCCAGGAGAGGCCACCTGGAAGGCAGGACCGAGGAGGTTCATGTCAGCG